GAGTTTCAGATATTTTTGATATTTTTAACGTGAAACTCTCTGTTTAGCATCAAACACCAAGTCGTCGCTGCACGTGGTGCACAGGCACGGCCCATGCTCACCTCATAGCAGCGGCAATGTCGAGAGTACTGATCAAGATGACATCCTTAGACGTGATCAAGAACGAGTGAACTCCATCCACTCGAAGCTTTCAAAGAAACTCACAGATCGAGTCAAACCGAGCCAGTCGACAGATTTACCGGCTAAAGACGGGAGCACGATTGGTTCGGCCAATTACATCGTGACGATCGGAATTGGTACACCAAAACACGATCTTTCACTAATATTCGACACTGGAAGCGATTTAACGTGGATCCAATGCGGACCATGCGCTGCTGGATCTTGCTATCTTCAGAAGGAACCAATCTTTAACCCTTCTTCGTCTTCTTCCTACGCCAACGTCTCATGCTCATCTCCAGTATGTGCTTCTCTCACATCCGCAGGTCGGTTTTACAATTTCATGTGTTGTTTCCTGTTTACGTTAAACCGAGTCTTAGATTACATTTTTTTCCAATTTCAGGAATCGGTAGAGAATGTTTGGCGCCTAATTGCTTCTACGGAATCGAATACGCCGATAACTCGTCTTCTGTTGGATTTCTTGGCAAAGAGAAATTTACCCTAACGAACTCCGTTGTCTTCGACGGCGTTAACTTTGGTTGCGGTATAGACAACCATGGACATTTCCACGGTGTCGCCGGACTTCTCGGCCTTGGCCGCACCAAACTCTCGTTTCCGTCTCAGACGGCGACGACCTACAACAACATCTTCTCCTACTGCCTCCCTTCTTCCGCTAGCTTCACCGGTCATCTCACCTTCGGATCCGTCGGAATCTCTAATTCCGTCAAGTTCACGCCGATTTCCTCAACCGGATTCGCATCCTTCTACGGCATCGATATCGTAGGTATCTCCGTCGGCGATAAGAAATTGGAGATTCCTTTAACCGTATTATCTACTCCAGGTGGTATAATCGATTCCGGCACCGTGATTACTCGTCTCCCTCCAAAGGCGTACGAAGCACTTCGAACGGCGTTTAAGGAGAAGATGTCGAATTACAAGGCTACATTGGGACGTCCCCGGCTTGATACTTGCTACGATTTCACCGGATTGGCGACGGTGACCGTCCCGAAGATTTCGTTCTTATTCAACGGCGGCGCCGTCGTAGATCTTGGTGCGGTGGGGGTTTTGTATGGGTATGATATATCGCGTGTCTGTTTGGCGTTTGCTGGGAATAGCAACGATGGTGACGCTGCGATTTTCGGAAACGTTCAGCAAAAGACGATGCAAGTTGTGTATGATGGGCCGGGTAATCGGGTCGGGTTTGCTCCGAATGGTTGCAATTAATCTATCTATACTATAATAAGCAACCAAAATGGGTAATTTGTCTGAAATAACTATACGAAAATGAGAAAAGTGAGGTTGTGTGGAATAGATGCAGCATGTTACTTTTTATTCTACAAGTACGAATTAATAAATATTCAAACTATAAAATTTGTCATTAATTCAATGAGACATTATACACCTACTTGTCTACACTTTCATCAATAATTTAATGATATTAGAAACCCTTTCGTACACTAAACTTGGAGACTATTGAAGTCTAGAGGCAATTCAAAAATAAATGACACATAAAATCAATATTTAGTGATTTTTTTTTTCTTTTTTAAAATATACAACCCAAACAAATAACCGTGAATTTTACAAAGTTTTTTAGTACACAAGACTTGAAAAGCTGGAGTGAAGAGATAAAATACAAAACTACATATACATGTGGAATATTACAACCCCATTTTTTAGACAGAACTTGGAGAGACTTGGCGTCCACACAAAACATGAAACACAAATGGGTCAATAAATAGGATTAGAGTCCCTACTTCATTTCATTTACTAGAGACGACTTAATTTCTTCAACAAAAGGATTGGCTATAAAAGGACTAACCAACACTACAAACAAAAAAAAAAACATTGTAATCCTCTGTATCATTTTAAATTATTTTTAAGGTTTCTACACACAAATTAAAAAATTATTTAATTTTCTATTTTTCAACATAAAACCACCAATTCCAATACAACTTAACCAATAGAAAACTAATCTGCAGAATTTAAAGAGTCAAAACCAACAAAAACATAATTAATTTTACTTTGAAAACTTAAAACATCATCTAATTTGAGACAAAAAAATTTCTCTAAAAAATCATTTAATATGATACGTAGAGAGTATCATTTATTTTATTAGTTTACCTTATTTTTTTATTGACACAACTAAAATTATATCATTTCTATGAGTGATTTTGAAAATGGTGACTTTAATATTGTATCAATAAAAAAGACCAAC